TATAAGGGGAGAGTTTGGCCATTGGTTAGCCAAACGGTTCCTTGACTGATTATTGTCTTCTTTTAAGAAACGAAAAGTTAGAGACAAGTGCCGTGGGCATGTGCTTTTGTTAAACCATGTTTTCCTTGATGAGGGTAGAAGGGTTGTCCATTGAAATGCTGATTTACTACCTAAACAAAAAAGACAGGGACAGGGATTTTTTAATTTTTCACACAGTTGCTTAGCTCAGTTTGTGAATCTAGTTTCCCATCAGTTTGTAAGATTTTTATGCATGTCTCTCCTCTAGCTTTTATGGAATTAACTCCTGTCCCCATCAATGGAAGAATTATACTGTATTAAAGAATCTAATATGTGCGAGACATCTCTATTCTATTTGTGAGGAACTTCGTAGGAAAATTCAAACAATGAGGGGCAGAACGCGCATTATTCCTTTTTTAGTCTGTTATTAAAAATATATTTTAATATGAATTTTTTATTGGTTTGTAAGGAAAAAACTACGTTCCATTTAAGCACGTTCACAGAGTAGTACAGTGTACTTCATTTAGTTTGTGGTCATTGAAAGGGAGATGTCGGAGGTATAACAATATACCATCGGTTGTTGGTTGTAAGTGGTCTCAGGAATAAATGAAACAGCTAATCTCACATTTTGTAAAAAGTTCTATGAAGGATCTGTTTTCTGAGACATGAATCCTGCAACATGTAAAAACAGCATGTCGCTTTAACATTTGTGTATTAATACATTTTGAACATTCTGTATTGCATGGGCCTTTTAGAATCAAAAGCCTTAAATATTGAATTATTTACCTTGTATCACTTGATTGCAGGAGTTACAGTGGAATAGGATGGTATTTTTATATCTTAAGCTTTTCACATGTTTTTACTCATAATATTTGTTTGCCCTAAATCTTTCCTGCCTATTTTTATTTTGTTGAGGATTTTTTTATATCTGACATTTTTCATATTTTGGTATTTATAGTCCCATGTGAGCAGTAATAAAGGACAGATTAGCAAACACAGTATTTACTATATTCCCTAACCAAAAGCATTGGTAAGGTAGAGTTAAGACTGTAAATCAGCCATTAATTGATAATGTTTTAATAATATGGTGATTTCAAATCAGGGATGTGTGGGGGTGGGTTGAGAGTCTGGAATTTTGAATGTTTTAGTTATTGGAAAAACAAAACAAAAAAATCCAACACCTAACTGCCGAAAAGAATACTCCTGTTGCGGTACCCAAAACAACCTTAACTCTGCCCCCTTATCCTACTTCTCCTGCCAGTGAGAGAACCCCACTAGCTGCAACAATAATGAAATTAAGAGCCTGATCCTCTTTTTACTTACACCAATCAGTGGAAATCAAGAGTAACTCAACTGAAGTCAGTGAAATAACACCTGTGTGAAGACAGCTAGGCTTGGTCATTCCTGTTTCACATATGAATTATTCTTAGAATTGGTTAGAAACATTTTGAATTTCAAAACTTTTTGACAGAAGAGAACTTTGTCTGGGAAAATCCTTTTATCTGCAAGCAGCTCCAATTATTATGCAATGATATTTCAGTTTTGGGTGATATAACCCGCTGCTACCCTTCTAACCTAGATCAGGGATGGCATCTCAGACGTCCTTGGGAGTGCATGAAGGGTCGTATGGTTTTTGGTCAATATGTTCAGGATCAGGCAGTCCTAAGAGATTTTGAGAGGATGTACAAAAAGTACCCTGGGAGTTCCTGTTCCCCAAAATTCACACAATCCTCCCTATTAATACTTGTCTCCCCACTGCCACCTCCCAGCCCAATTCAGTCAGTTAGCAATTTTCCCCCAAGAGGCTAAAGCTTTTCAACCAAAATTTGTGACCAGACTGGAACAAAAATATTGTACTTTGCTTAACAACATGTTAGTCACTGTAGAAGAACTGTCATTTAACGATTCAACTTTTAAAGTGTACACCGCCTTAATATTCATCAACTCATATAGTATCTACAGAGATTCTTTGAGCTAGTTTATTTGGGGGGATTATTCCATTGCTTTGATACATGCTATACAAATTTGGGGAATAGTCTTCAAAGAAAAGTTAACATAATCAGCAAAGACAGAAAATTGCCAAGTGCTTAGGTGTCTGGCTTCCTTTATTCAACTCTCAGGTGAGAGATTCTCTGGTGGATAAGCCTGAGCATATGTGTAATTTTATTTAATGAAAGCCATCTTGATAGTAGAAAAGTCCTACTATCTCCATGTAGTCAATAGAGCAGGACACGTGAAATGGATGACAATAGAAGAATCCTTCTAGGAAGACCCACAAAACAAATAAGAACATTCCAGTCAAAATTTTTGAAGTTGGGTGCTTAAAGTTAAGTCCATATTTATTCACCTGAATGAAGGTGGCCTGATTTTCACCATCCATCAACACCAGTGCCAGTTTAGCAGCTCTGCAAATCAGGTTAGTCTTTCTTTTAGGTGCCTAAGTAGGTAGTCAATCAGGTGGCTGACTTTCAAAATCTGGCTTTTATGTTTATAGTGACTCAACTCTCAGCAGGCAACTAAAATTCATATTCAAGTGGAGTCAAGTTTGTTGGACTCAGCATTTCACTAGGCAGTAGAAAACTGATTTTCATCCAAACAATATACCAAGGGAAACAGGGTTGATTTTTCTTCTTTTCGTTCAATTCTGTAGTTAACAATCTATTTTTATTTTATATTATGAATAAAAATAAAAGGAAACACATAGCATGAATTCAAGTGCTTACCCAAATATCTTTATACAAATAGTCTAAAGTGTTAACACTTCTTGTGAGAAAATAGAATAAACCAATTCTGGATTTCTAGATCAAATTGTTTGTGAAAGATGTGGCAAAAGAAAGGGCAAAGATAGATTTTAAAAAAAAAATGCACAGTACTGATTTTCCAGCCTGTTTCAAGAATGCCTTCATGATTTCCTCTAAACATTCCAAAGTGAATTTTCCTTGGCACAGGATACCACAAGAGAAATTTCAGAATAATAGATATAGGTTAGATGAAAGTAGAGAAGTGATCATAACTGGGACTTTAATAGAAACCAACCCATAGTGTTAACTGTAGAGAGACTATGTCCTTTCATTAATCCATACGAACTCCAGGCTCATGTACATCTCCACAGTGACAGCATTTCATGATGGAAACAAATAATCTCTCTTTCCATTAATAATATGATCCTGAATATTTCCTGCAAGCAGAAATTTCTACAAGTTTTATTATGACAATTAATATTATTTATTACTGCTTCTCAAGCACAGTAAGTGCTACATTGAAATAGGGAGACCCTGAAGGCCTCATTTACATAAAGGATTTCTCTGAGTTGTTAATGGAATATTGGCCTAATTTCAAAAGAAATTGATAGCACATTTCTCCCTATTTTTTATCCTTCAAACTTAAAAGTCCCTAAGTGGTTGATCCTGAGCGGGGAACCGAGCACCTGAAGTTAATGGGGATTACAAGTGCTTGGCATCTCTCAGGGTATGTCCTAAGAGCTTCCTAAGTCTCCATGACATATTGCTGAGGTTTGCAGCCAGGAAATTCCTGGCTGTTAAATCAGTTAGAAAATATCTCAAAATGCAACGGCCTGGAACACACCATTTGGAGTTGAATGCATTATGCAGTACGTTTCCTTACTTGCTGCAGCACTTCCCCTCATTTTGGCACAACATCTGCAGTAGTACTCTCAGTAGAATAGATGGCGTGAGAATAGAATAAGCAGCTTAATGATCACAAAAGCATCACATACACAATCTACGGTATTCATTTCTTTACCGTCTCCGACACCAGCCTTTGAAGAAATTAAGGCCTTCACCCTGGGTTGCATCTGAGCAAGGCTCAGTGGCTCTAGGCTGCTCTTTTTTATACCGGGCTGTCTTAGGCTCAGAGGGGCCATTCTAGGAGCTAGGGATCAATCACTGGGACATAGAGAGAGCCCTACTATTTTAAAGAATGCCATACATGCTTACTGCACATGTGCGTGCGCCCGCGCTCGCCCTCTCTCTCTCTCTCTCACTGCCCCAGTACGTGGATCTTTTTACTAAACCAGTTCACATGAGCAGGTTGATCAGCTCTAAACACTGGCCAGTAATCAAAGGCTTGTTCCTGCGCCAATGTGAAGTATGTTATTTACTTCAGTGTGGAGAGGAATAGGCCCTTAAAGTCTCTTTCCAGCTTGAGAAAAAGGTGCATTTAATAAAAAGGAGCCATAATTGTGATATTTTTTTTCCTGTCAGTTAAAAGACATAACTTGCTCCTCGTTGAAGGGAGATTGCTGCCATCATGGAGAGAAAAGGGTTGGGCAGAAGGCAGGGCAAAATAGCAATGCATAGTACCACTTTGGGCGAGTCTTGGGGTAAGCAGGCTTGAGAGCTAACATGCTGTACAGCAAACGAATATCCTGTGAGAAAACCTTAAATCGACATACATTACAGCACAACCCTCAAAGAACAAAGCGTAACTGCAGAGCTTCAAGTGTTTCATTTATGTTTGAATGCAATGGATTGAGAAATGGATGAAGAACACATTTCTGCAGCTAAAGAAATGTGATGGCAAAATGTACATTAAAATAAACATGTTTGGACTTTTCTAAAAGGTTTCATGTTATATTATATTTTGTCTTTCATTAAGCCATTCTGGCCGTTCTTTGGCAGTATACTCTGCATTTCCTTTTCAGGGCTAGTGTGTTTTAGTAGACAACTGCTGAACATAAATATGTCATAAAATAATATCTTAGAGCATGATCCACAGTCTATTGAAGCCAATGGAAAGACTCCCACTGACTTCAGCAGGCTTTTGATTAAGTCCTTAGTAAGGTTAGAAATACAAATCATTTCACTGTACCTGTGTTCTGTTTTGCCTTGAATATTTTTTTTTAAATCAATATTGTATGATGCCTGTCAGCTACTTTGGGCCAAAGGTCTACATGCAGTCACTACTTAAATGCGATGTATTTCAGACAGTTCACACCTATTTTTCTTTTTTGTCCCCTCCAGAGATTACGTATGAAGAAATGATTAGCTTTAAACCACCTGATTTAAAAATGGATAGCCTGGAAATAGAACAGTAAATACAACCAGCTGTGTTTTGCCATGCTGCACTATCAAGACTGTTGAAAACATAGCATTACAATTTAACCTATATTCCCAAGAGTAGATTTCACTATCCAAAGATGTTGGAGAAGGAATGGAAGAGCAGGTAAATGATACTGAAGTCAGATGTTTTTTGCCTTGTACTATGAATGTAATCACAGAACATAAAAGGCGATAAAGAACTGCTTCATTCTGACAAAATGATGCACTGAGTTCTGTTTTGCTGGATTTTTCTGCATGTTTCATTTTATCAGTTGTAATGCCAAAAATGAAGGTAACTTTTTTATTATTTTGAATATACTTTTTTTGAAATTGTACATTTTAAAGCATGAATGTGTGCAAACATGAAAGTAGATGTCCATACACGCAACCAGTTGTTTCCTGGCATTACCCTAATTTTATCTGTTTTTTGTTTTTTATTTATAGCTAGTGCCTTTAAGAAAAAGAGGGCATGGTAGTGAGTTAGACATAATATGCAAACGTAGTCATATCTGTGGTGGTCTTATAAACATATTGGATGTCTCTTGAGTGGTTTAACACCAGTTGGAAATCAATGAATAAATCTTTGTCATGTTGCCATTTAAAGTGTCTGTTCTCATTATTTTCTGTATAGTCTTTAAAACTGCAGAGGATAAGTTTTTGAGAGCAGTGTTTCTGTGTTATGCTACTATAGACTGTGTCATCAGCGAAGATTTAGTGAATTTGCACAGATTACAAGAATTCCTGCCACAGACGCTTTGTGGAATTTCTCTAGTTTTCCAGAAATCTCACCAAAGATTGTAATGTAGGGATAATGTGTTCATTCATTGAACTCAACATCTCCCTACTCTCTTCTTTTCCTTCAGTCAATCCATGAGAGGCCAACGTAATAATTGAGATGAAAAAACAAAGCAGGGATAAGACTTAAGAAGAGTTTGGACATTTGTGAAAAGCAAAATATCACAATCTCATTGGAATTGCATTTTAAGCAGTATTTTAAAAGGCCCAATGTCTCTGAAGAGTTAGACAAACTAAATTTAAAGCTAATTCATAGCAGGATATAGCCGATGCCAAGATGTCTTAAAGAATTAACCCTGTAATCTCATTTATCCCCTGGAAGTGTAACCATGATAAAGGAACATTATTATTAACATCTTTTGGTCTGAGATCCTCTGGTTAATATATGGCCATGTTTGTCTCATTCCTTTGTGATTCACAATTGCAAATACCAGTAGATGCTGTCCATTTTTTGTGTAACTTGTCATGCCATGTCTCATTCTGTCAGTGTCTCATTTCGGGGGGTTGCTTGTTTTCATATTAATGTTGTTACTTTGTTTTGCTGTGATGACTTTGTCATTAGTTTGGCTTGTACAGCTATTCTATCAGCTGATGAATTTGAACACATTTGTTTACTTTCTCTGTATTTTTGCTGTTTGATCTTTTTTCTTAATAAACAACTACAAAAAAAGGCAAAAGGAAATTTTTTTTCCATAGCACTTGACTACTGTAAAATACGAAAAGTGCATTATGCATCTGTGGGTCAGAGGTCCAATTACTTGATAAAATAGTTTTTAAAATCTTCTTATGGATTCATAGATTCCAAGGCCAGAAGGGACCACTGTGACCCTCTTGTGTGATCTCCTGTATAGCACAGGCCATAGAACTTCCCCCAAATAATTCCCAAAGCATATCTGTTAGACAAACATCCAATCTTGATTTTAAAATAGTCAGTGATGGAGAATCCAACATGACCTTTGGTAAGTTGTTCCACTGGTTAATGACTCTCGCTGTTAAGTTTACGTCTTATTTCCAGTCTGAATTTGTCTAGTTTTAACTTCCAGCCATTGGATGGTTTTATACCATTCTCTGCTAGATTGAAGAGCCCATTATCAAATGTTTTTCCCCATGTACGTACTTATAGACTGTAATCAAGTCACCTCTTAACCTTCTCTTTGTTAAACTAAATAGATTGAGCTCTTTGACTCTATCACTCTAAGGTATGTTTGCTAATCCTTTAATCATTCTCGTAGCTTTTCTGAGTCCTCTCCAATTTATCAACATCCTTTTTGAATTGTGGACACCAGAACTGGACAGGATATTCTAGCAGCGGTTGTACCAGTGGTAAAATATGTGGTAAAGTAACCTCTCTACCCCTACTCAAGATTCCTATTTATGCATCCAATGATCACATTAGCCTTTGTGGACACAGTGTCGCAACGGCCGCTGATTATCCACCACAACCTCCAAATCTTTTTCAAAGTCAGTGCTTCCCAGTATAGAGTCCCCCATAATGTAAGTGGCCTCTCCATTTTTTAAAAAACTACTGCATGGGATTAAGGAGATGATGTGGGGCTCAGCACTCACAGGATCAGGCTTATTCACACTTTTGAAAAAAGTTATCTTCAATTCGTTGAGTTCAGTGATCAGTTTCCACCCTCTCCTTGAAGTTGTTGAAGAGCATTCAGTGTAAAAACCACTTCCTTCCTATATATTTCTAGATCAAAAGAACACACATACCCCTCCAATTCTCAGAAGCTGCCAAAGATGACTATGAAGAAAGTACCTTCACTTGTGGCATGTTTAGTATCAGTCAAAGATTATCTTAATATCTTTTGCAATATTAGTAATCACAGACTCCACTCATGAATCTCTGAAAAATTTGCTGGTGATACAAATACAGTAGAACCTCAGAGTTATGAACACCACAGTTATGGACTGACCGGTCAACCACACATCTCATTTGGAATAGGAAGTATGCAATCAGGCAACAGAGACAAAAAAAAGAAAATATTGTACAGTACTGTGTTAAACATAAACTACTAAAAAAATGAAGGGAAAGTTAAAAAAAAACATTTGACAAGGTAAGGAAACTGTTTCTGTGCTTGTTTCATTTAAATTAAGATGGTTAAAAGCAGTATTTTTCTTCTGCATAGTAAAGTTTCAAAGCTGTATTAAGTCAACGTTCAGTTGTAAATTTTTGAAAGAACAACCCTAAAGCTTTGTTCAGAGTTATGAACATTTCAGAGTTATGAACAACCTCCATTTCCAAGGTGTTCATAACTCTGAGGTTCTACTGTATGCTTGGTTTTTGTTTGTATTTTTTATTTCATTCCATTCTGGAAAAGTTTTTTTATATCTAGGCTTGTAGCGCAAAACCTGATGGCTGTTCCCTGGATAAATTCTATCTTTTTTTTAGTAGCAGCAAATCTTTCAACCTAGCCATGGTCACAGTGTCAATCTTATTAGGAATCTAAGTGCTAATTACAGCACCTCTATTTCTCTCAGCAGGGGTAGGAGCAACAGCAGTGTTTGTTGCTGCAAGGTGCTCCATGTGAACCAAGCAGCTAGCACTCATAAGCACATTGCAACTCATTAAACCTGACTCTTTCTCTTGAAAAAGCAGCACTTCCTAACAGAGTGGTCAAACCAGTGTAATTCATTTATGAGGCTGTAATGTTGGTTTTCAACTCAGTGTGCAATGTGCATTACTAAATGGGTTCCGTGTAAGTAGTGAAGATGAAAACGTAAGGATTTTTATGTGACTAGCATCAAGAAGGATGGAGAACTGCAGGAGTGCAGCTGCCAGTGACCTTGTTGTCTCCTGTAATGTAAAATATCCAAGTGACATTCATAAAACTGTTTATACTGTTTCCACTGAAGAGAGTGGATGCACTGGGCGGTGTCTGAATATCTAACCCATCTGATGTTCAATCTGTTGTACTGTAAGTCTCTATAACAAGCAAAACTGTTAAATTAGGCCTCAATCCCGCAAACATGCACATGCTTAATTTTACATTCATGTAGACCCACTGGCTTCAATTATTGTCAGAATAACTTGTTGGCAGGATTGGGGCTTTAGTCAGTTAGAATTCCTAGCCCTTTTAATTACAGATCTGAACTAAAGCAAAAGTGAAATGAGTGTAGTGGTCTCTACCTAGTCTCTAGTGACTATTTGAAAACTGCCCCATAATGTGGTGTAGTTGGCAGCCTGTGATCAGCAGTACCTCATTCTTTACAGTGCTTTCTAGTGGCATGCAGTAGATTAGTACTGAGCTAGTATTACCATTTATTTTATAGTAGTCCAGTCGGGATTGAGCCCCCATTGTGCTAGGCACTGTACACAGATAATATGACAGGCTCCTGCCTGGTCCAGCTTCCAGTCTAGTTAAAACAAACATGATAAATGAGTGAAATAACAACATAAGGGTACCAGGGAAGAGAGGATGAGTGGCACACTAATAAGTATGGTTGGTTGCATAAGCCAGCGATGTGCATAACTCCATAATGCCAAATAATTTATGTAAATAACACCTCAGGCTTCTACCCATCCATTTATCAGTTGGCAGTTTCATTTAGGCATTGCTGTGCATGAGGGTCCTAAGGCAGGATTTGAAAGAAGAGAGGATAGTGGATATGTGAGAGAGTTTATAGACAAGTGTGTTTATCAGTCATGACAGTTAACATACCACCCCACCCTACTGGCTTTATTTCCTCTGCTCTTCCCTCCAACAAAACTGTAGATAAACAGCTGTAGGTCAGGCATAAGCTCTCACTGTAACATCAAAACCGATTGATTTGTAAAATGCAAATTCATAAAAAGAATTCAGCTGGCTGGTGTTTATTCCATTTCACTTAGTGTTTAAATTGTTATTTATTTAATGACAAAAACTGTACTCAGCGCTTTACATAACAAATCTGAATGCAAGGACCTAACCATGAAGTCACAATAGTAGCAAAAACAAAACACTGGGCAGCAGTTCAGGCATGGAAGGTTATGAAGACAACAGTGAAGAGAACAGCATAAAATGGATTTTTCAGCAGAAAAAATGATTTTTGTTTAGTTTTTTAAATAAGGAGAAATAGTGAATGAAATAATTCTATTTCCTTCAGACAAACTAAGGTCTACTGATTAAAAAGAACTATGCCTTTTTAAAAAAAGTAGACTAGAAGGAGTATTATGAACGTGCCTAATTAAAGAGGGGAGAGGAAGCTGTTTTAAGAAACAAATCAATTTACACCTAGGAAATACCCTTTAATGATGCAGCAAGACAGAGCCTTATTTTATATTTATTGAACTGTTTTTATCACAAAACATAAGAATATGGGCAATAGAACTACAGCCTGCAAAGGCAATGTTAATAAATCTCATCATTAAAAGCATGTAACTAAGTAGACAAAATCATGTGCACCTTTAATTTGTTCTGACTGGAAATATACATAATCTATCATTTAAGCAGCTGGGCTGGGAGGGGTTTGCTTTTCCTATTGAGTTTGAATCACCTCATTTCCACTGGCAGAACTCATGCTGCCGGTTGCCTCAATTGAGGGTGCAGTACAGTAAAATTCCTGCAAACACCCCATATCCTCTCTCTTTCACTCACACATGCTCTCCCCCCACCCCCGCCAGGGTCCAGAGTTGACAGGTTAGCACACAAAGTGGGTAAGGATGTCCCAGGTGTGGGTGTGGCTGGGAAATGTACTGATTCAGCACCTCTCTGAGGCAGCCTGTGCTGGTGGGGCTACTACTGAGTCCTTACCAGAATTTATACCTATCTTCCCCAGCAGAACCCCACAGGGAGAGCTGAGTTAATCTCCCTGCTGCAATC